TCATGAAATTCCACAAATTAATTTAAAGCTAAATTAAATTAAATATATAAGCAAGTAATAAATCAACATGTGTCCTAGTATATGTAAAGAGGAGTATGGACCACTTGGAGAGGAGGGGACCATACTTGCTCCCCACTCCTTCCTCTCCTTGTGACACTTGTCCACACCAAAAAGCAAGCATACTTACTAGCTTCCCCTTTCTACCCGACCTAGGCCCACGGCCCAGCCAGCCTCGCACCGTGTGGGCTGCTAGCTGCTTCCAGCTCAGCCCAGCACGCCCCCGCACATCAGTGCGGGCTGCTGATGCCGAGGGCGCTCCTAGCTAGCCACGCACATGTGTGGGCTGCTAGCAGCAGCGCACGCCAGCACGCCACGCACTGCTTGCGGGCTGCAAGCCGTGCTGTGTTAGCATGCCTCGCACATGGTGCGGGCTGCTAGCCACGCCTTGCTAGCATGTCTCGCACATGGTGCGGGCTGCTAACTCGGCTAATCCCCTAGCACTCGGGATTCCGATGCTAGGGGTATTTTGGTCATTGTTGATTTATTACTAATTTGTCGTCTCGTCTTTTTATTATTTTTGACTTGACTTCCGACGCTCGGTTTCGACGCTCTAAGCTCGAATTTCCGACGTCTAAATATTTAACACTCGGGCGACGAATTAATTTCTTCTGAATTAATTCGCCGAGTCGGTTCGTATATTTTGCTTGGGTGTGACCCAAAGGGTTCAGTCAAGATTAAGCTGTAATATTAATTATATTAATATTACTGATCGGAAGCGGCCTCCACCCAGGCATTCCGATCACTTGACCTTACTGAATATATTAGCTTTCTAATAATTCTAAACCCGCTATCAGAATAATACACCTGTTCGAAGGATACCATTCCTTTCAATCTCCCACTTGTCCTTCCGGACAAGTGTGCATTTAGTGTATAGCCCCTTTCCTATGTCTCTTCATGTCTCTTCATGAACTATAGAGTAAGATTACTCGTCATCTCTGTTACGTCCAGAAGTGTTTCTCGAAATCCGAGTTTGACTGTCAATAAGCAGATGATTTCTAAAATCCATCTGAGCACGACCATGCATTTTCACAGTCTCGCTCTTCGAGAGGCCTTGTAAACAACAAGACATGTTCCCTATTGTTAGTAGGGGGACATTTCCAGTCTTGTAATGTAGCTTCTCTTACTAAGAGGACCTAGCCGCCCGATATCTGTCGTTATAATCCCCAGTTACGGCAGACGTTTGGCGGATACCAAAGCGGACTAGTACTCAAACAAGAGACCTCCCACTCCCACTGCTCATGATCAAGGAAAAGAGTTCCGATAGTAATAATGAGAAAAATACTTATGACGATTTTTAAATCTCTTAAAGTATTCTCATAGGTCGATCTAGTATGGTTCTAAACCAATACCTGTGCAAATGATTTATATCCTCATAGCACAAGAAACGGTGCTATAAATCATACTACACATTAATCTCTAATGGTCATTAATCGTCCATAAAAAATATGACCTTGATTAGGGATAATTTTTGATTAAAATATTCAATGTTCACTTAATAGGTGTTTCTTTATCCAAGCCATTGACTTGATACCCTATTTTGAATATTTATTAAAATCGAATGGACTCATTATTTAATTCTAAACCACAATTAAATAGTTTTGTGGAATATTTAGAAATATTTTATTCCACTATGAAACTTCACAATGTTTCAAAATGGTTTTTCCCAAATGTTTTATGAGTAGTACTCTTCATAAAACATTCATAAAAATCACACTCATATTTGATATGCTTGATTTCTTTCATGCAATTATGAATGTTGTCGTTCACTTATTGCATAGGTTTAGTTATAATTACTTTGCAAACCTTAGCATCTTCATTATCCACCATTTCCATAATAAGATGATAAAATTTTGAGAGTGTTAATGGATTACATGTGATTCAGGATTTATTGTCCAAGCAATGGCTCCCACTCGTTTTCATGATTTGAGACCTTCTACTTGACAACCTACAATCATCAATGTTCAACAACGAACTTTTCCATTTAACATCTATCTTATTATTGCTTTTAAGGCAACAATATTCTCAACATATGTTTTAGTAGACTCTCCGATGATGCCTTGCATGGATTTCACTCCAAACGACTCACAATGATTTGGAATACTCAAATCACTTACGATCATGGAAATTTATCTTAAATTTCTGCACATTATACATGGATGCATATCCATGTTACCATTCTCAAGCCACGACACTTCTTGCCCCGTGCTTATAAATGGCTTCCTTGCTAAGGATCTAATCCTTGTTAAGGTTTGTGCTTACAACATCAAAACTCAAGTCGTATTTGTTTCCATGCGTCAAGAACTCATCCAACTACTTATTTAAGTGCTTTAGATGTTCTTGACTATACTCTAATGATCTAATACTTAGATTAATGTCGACTGGTATTATATACGTACTTCACATGCTCTAAGCAAGTAAGTCGTCTGACGATTCCATATGATTGATTTAATTCTAGAATGATTCTCAATTCTATTCCATCCAGGTGACATTTAGCCCATTCAGTTACACTGAGTCTTGCCAAAATGTTCATGTGATATGGTTGAAAGTCTCTTAATAGAGTCTTTCTTGGTTGACTTAGTATTTAGCCTAGCTTATACTTAGTTCAAAATTTACTTAGCTTCATACATATATGGGTCGAAAGCCTTTCAAAGTCCTTCATGTTTAACATGGTAAATTCCTTTACTCATTTAAACATTTAATTAAGGCTATACCATAGAACTTACTTCCCAACATGTACTAAGCATCGTCTTTAGCTTGGTCCATTGTCGAAAATACTTTCAAATCTAAGCATTTAGCATTTGATAGTTGTTTCACAATAGAGTTCATAAACTTCTCGTTGGACCTTTACTTTTGCTCCCACTAAACTTCTTGTTCATCAGAATTTCTATGTTTCTCCATAAGTCAATCCTCTTATTAACTTTATGAGAAAACACATTCCAATTCCTTCATGCAATGCTTCCTTTAATCCCATGACGGATTCCATGTGCTTGCTTTCAAATCTAGCATTATTTAGATTTTTAAAACCCTTAGACTATTCCATAGTCACTTCCAAGATCCTATTTTGGGAAGGCGGTTTTGGTATCTATTTTGCCATATTTCATATGTGCAATTTTGCTAGATCAATCACGAAAAGACTTAAGCATTCCGATTGGTGAATAGGTTTTTATTAAAATCAACTCATTGAAATTAATTATATCCTTTTCAACCAATCTAGCTATGTATGCATATACATTTCCACATTTGTTAGTTTTCTCCTTGAAAACTTATTTGCAATTAATGGATCTTTCATCCTTCATGCAAATTAATCAAGTTTCGAACATGATTTTCAAACATGGAGTCTATTTCGGATTTTCATGGCCTCTAACCATCATTCGGAATTCGGATTTGTCGTAGCTATCTTACAAGACATTATTCCTTTGCTTGTAAGTCTTAGGTTTATTTCTAACTTAATAGAAAATTTATAGGATTCAATCCAAGCCTTTGGTGAATTTTATACCTATACGGGGTAACTGCATCAAACACTGAGTTTTAAGGCGCTTTCAAAGCCCTTTTATCATGTTGATCTTACTCCAACATTTTTAATGTTTTGTGAGTAATGAATTCTCTTTTAAGGCACTTGTAAAGTCCTTTTGAGTATTCTTGATCAAGCATTCTCATGAAGTCCTTTAAGGTCTTCCGAGATTCTCAGTTCTAGTTTGTTACTAAGCTCGATGGTCATCGAGTTCATTTTCCTCCCACTTATCGTTTTGGAAACGTGTTACTTTCCAGAAAGACACCACTTAGAGCAACAAACATTATGTTCTCAATTAGGATGTGGAGGTAATGCCCGTAGTCTCACTTGAATGCTTACAAAGAGACATGTATATTGTCTTTGGGTAAAAGTTCGTTGTGAAACAAAAAGTTAGCTCCCACTTGAGCTATCTTTAGTCTTTATTGAGCCATTCAGCTCCCACTGAGCCACCTAGCTCCCACTGAGCCACTTAGCTCCCACTTAGCTAGTGAACTCCCACTGAGACTAAGAGTCTTATACATATACTTGAAAAGACTTTTAGAAGTTATTTCTATCCATAACTGAATATGGCGTCCTTTCTTAGCTTCGACATATTGTTTAGTGTAACATTAGTCATTTGTGCAAATCTTTAAGAACTTTATAGGAAGGGTTGTGAACCATCATTGTTTGAGTCATTTTCCAATGACATCGAGAGTTCTTTATGAAAATTTCCATTCATAACTTTGAGATGGTCACGCTTGGCTCAAGCAAACATTGCTCGATCTAATCTAGAAGTTTTGATATCTTGCCAAGTCGATTCTGTACTTCACTGGACTCTTCAGCTACTCATGTCAAGTTTGTTCACATTTGATGAATATAGCCATATCCTTTAAAATTCTTTGTGAAACGTTGAAGTAATTGATTCCTCTTTAGCCTTCGGAGTCAATTGTCTATACCAAGAACAATAGCTCTCTGTTTTGTCGGTTTCAACAACTAAGACTTGCTTGTCTTAGAATGATTCCAAATCGAGCAACTATCAAGAGCCTATCTAATAGAATCTTGAGTACGTTCTTGTCGACATGACATTGCTAAAGATGTTTGGAACGCAAATCAAGCCCATGACTTGAACTTACACTAGTGGAAAAATAGCTATCCGTAACGGGCAAAAGCAGCCCATCCGTAACGGGCAAGGGGCGTTACGAATGCGACCGTTACGGATAAGCTACATTATTTGTAACGGGCAGTTAAAATGTCCGTTACGAATAACAATAACGGGCAGTTAAAATGCCCGTTACAAATAACCCGTTATTCGTAACGGACATTTAAAATGCCCGTTACAAATAACGGGTTATTCGTAACGGACAGTTAAATGCCCGTTACGAATACAATTGAAGTCAAATTAAAAAAAATTGTAGCAGGAGATACCTGCTACCTGGTATGCTGGTAATAATTTTTTTTTTTTAAAGGAAAAGGGGAATTCATAACACTTAATTAATCAAATCAACAAGTTCAGGGAGTTATAGAAACTGCTCCAACAGGAAAACCCCAACAATTACAAAATATAAAATAAAAGCATGCTCTACTTGAGTTCCATAAATATGATTACATAAAGTGAGAGGAAAAGTTCCTCAAAGCCTGTAGCCTAGATGCAGCTCTCCACCACATCAATTTCGTAGGCATTCTTGGCGCAATCTGAAATGGTGTTGTGCTTGATTTTATCCCCCTCCATATCAATTGCCATTCGTGCACTGTTATTCCAACAATATCAGCTCCGCTGTCCGCAATTTTCATGACCTGCCAGGTTGCCAGTAAATGTGATTAGGTTACCAAGAACTGGCTGAAAGTGTACAACATGAATACATGATAACCTTCTAATTTAATTATGTGAGTGGATGTGCAATTCTCAAGTATACATTTGTGATTAGAACCAAGCAATCGATAGAGACCGAGTGTGATTATACTCCGTTTACTATGAATTTGAAAGATGAATATACTCTAAAGCCAACCTATCCTCTTCAAAATGAATAACTCTTGTCAGTTTATCAACTCTTGCATATCGAAAGTACCCCCCCTCCCAAGCAGTCACCAGAAAGACGTATAGCCTACTCACAGACATTGAAACAATTCAGCTCATTCATGATGCCTAGTAAGCAGTTGCAGCACTTGAAATTCCAATGCAGAATACAGCTTATATACCAACAATGAACCTCGCCCTAGGAAGAGAGTGGCCATGTATTGGACCTCAAAATCTAAGAATGCAGCTACTTACTGAATTACTACTGCAGTACAAGCTTTCAATCTTACAGATCAGCACAAGGACCTTTCTTTTTCTTTACTTTAAATCTATTTAGCCATTTTTATTGTAGTCAGATTTTAACAGGTGGGAATAACATGAGACATTACTCACAGCAGTTTGCTAGATTAGAGCTACAACAATATATTATAAAAAAGATAGATGAATCAAGTACATGCAAATTAATGTCATGCAATGCTCAAAGGAAAACAACTAAAAAAGCTGTGGCGATGCAAGGAGTGCTGGAGTGAAGCTTAAAAGGTAAAGTTTGTTTTTATCATTTTGTGAGTTGATATAGTACACTTCAAAAAGGTAGATGTAGTTTAAGCCTTAACAAACTGATCAGCACAATGCATTGTTACCTCCAACCACCACCACCTTAGCCACAGAAAACTAAAAAAATGATTCATATGCCTAATATCATTCTTTTCATGCTTCCTAGTGATCCTTAAGGACCACAACATAAAGAATATTTGATAATTAACCAGAGAAAGGAGCTAGGTGCACCCTCACCACACTTTGACAAGTGTCAACTCGTCTCTTTCCTCTTTTATTAAAAAGATGTGGACAGTTGTCAAACAGTAAAGCTGGGGTTGCAACTAACTTCAGATATTTTAGTTTGGTGCTAATTGATTGAAATTTGTACTCTGGCAGTGAGGCTGCTAAACCAGATCAAATGGATAAAGCGCGACTCCAAAAGAAAGCATTACAGCATGATCTTCTATTACTCACCTCACCAGCATTGACTGTAATGATATGAGGTGTGAAATTAGCACCAACTGAGCAAGATACCCATTCACCTGCAACCAAAAACATTTACTTTTATTAAACTTGTAAATCCTTAAGCACATCTCAAAGTAAACAGGGCAACCAGCACTTATCAATTAGCTCAGATGCTCTTCAGTCAACTATCACAGTTTCTAAGCACCTCAACTTTTTATCCAAACAAAAAAGTCGTGTCCACCATAGCCTGCTCCCCTCCCCTTAATTAAAAAAAAATGAAAGAAGGATACCTTATTGTGATTCTCGAAATGAACAATCAGTCCAACCCACAAGACCCATACATATAAAGATTACAAAAACTTACAATAACCATTTTGCAAATTGTAAGTATGTGGTTCCTTTCATCTCTCAAATAAATTCTTTCAACCGATTATCCAAAGTCCGTCACATCATACCAAGTGTACAAACAAGCAAAGAACAGGATAATTTAGATACCTATAACCACGAAGCAACTCTAAAGACGACGTGGGGCTAAACAACAGCCTAAGGCATACGGAAACACACAACAGCAAGCAACAAAAAGAAATGCACAAACAGTATATTCACCACCCCATTCATACTGTCATACCAAGTGGCAAAGGCAAAGGCAAAGCGAAGATAAGACACCCAATAAAGGTCATACATACCAATAAACTAAGCTACATATCCAGAAAGAAACCATTCAAAAATAAGCATTAAGATTTCAACAAAGAAAAGAAAACTACCTCCTCTGCACGCAACGTTCGGTACTGGTCATTTATATTTTCAATCTTTTCACTAGATGGAAAAATCTGCAACAGTAAAGATGATTAATTTGCATTCCACAAGTGTTCATATATAACAAAACCAAAAGTACTTTCTACCATTAATTTCAAAACAAAATACCAGCAATAACACAATAGATAAGGCTTGAAATAGCACAAGCTATACCTTGTAAATCTTGTGGTAAAAAACTTCAAGTAATCTGAGCTCTGCACCAAGATGTGTGACAAATCCACCTATTTGCAAAGGAAAACAAAAAAATATATATATGTATATATGTATATAAGTGGCAAAGGAAGTCGTCACCTTTTTGTAACTGCCATGACATGCAAATTAATGTCTTGCAATGCTCAATGCAAATAACTACTAAAAATGAAGGAATTGGGGATAAATTGGTCGATTTCGGTAACAAGCTCGAAGAACGCTAGAATTAATCAACATGCCATATCGGGTTTCTTAATTCTCACTATAAACAAAAAAAATTACAAAAAAATTCTGCAATCAGGTATTAATCGGCAAAGATGAACTAAATTCATTACTAATTGCATGTATTACTCATTTCAATTGAAGAACATATTTTTTTATTTATTATTCGTTTAGACATACAAAGGATAATCGAACCATAACCATTAGATTAACATACAAGAACCGACCAATTTTTTTAAAAAAAAATACAACAAATTCGAAAACAAAATCAAACAATCATGTTACTCCACATTCCACAACGAAGCACAGTTAACTAATACCTCTAATTAGAACTTAAAGAAGACACAACATAAACCCTTACACCTCTACAACACAAATCAACAGCTAAAACTGGAAATATTATTTAAAAACACATACACCCAGAATCAAATTATTAGAATTACAAAATTCAGAAAACAATCAATTAATTTTGCAATAACTCGAATGCAAAAAATCAGCCAAAAGATGAAATTGACCTTAGGATTGAGAGAACCAGAGGAAACGAGCTCATCACGAACCAAATCACCAGTAGAAATATGAGGAACATCGAGAAGCTTCGAAAGACGAGTAGCGTAAGTGCCTTTACCATGATGCTGAGGATGTGAGGTGAATGACGGGGAGGAGAAGAGAGGAGAGGAGAGAGAGTGAGGGACTGATGAGAGAGAAAGAGGTGAATGACGGCTGGTTTTAGGTGAAACCCTAAAAAACCAAGTATTGGGCTCCTTTCATCAGTTGGGCCACATTTGGGTATTTGTATCGGGCACAATACGCCTGTTACGTGTTATATAGTAGTCGTAACGGGCAAAATAGTGTCCGTTACGAATACTTATTTATTTGTAACGGGCACTAATTTGTCCGTTACAAATACATATGTATCGTAACGGACACTATTTTGCCCGTTACGAATAAAAAGTATTCGTAACGGACACTATTTTGCCCGTTACGAATAAAAAGTATTCGTAATGGACACTATTTTGCCCGTTACGAATATCTTAATTGTAACGGGCAAAGCTTTGCCCGTTACAAATAGCCTGTTACGAATGAGATTTTTTCCACTAGTGTTAGTGAGTTAATCATGTTAGGGAAATGTTTGTTTATAATCAAGCATTTTTGACTCAACGCTTGGATAACCATGCCATTCAAATAAATCTCGCAAATATTGCTCATTACTTTAAATGTGAGTCTTTCCGTGTGTAAACGGATCAATTGTTGATTATGGAACATAATAACCATTATTTGTTCCAGCCTTTGGCTTAAAAGGTCTTTAAACAAAACATACGACCTTACAACTGATGTAGCTCTTCTTGCTTCATTCTAAGCTTGTAAGTCGATAACTTAGCTTAACTTCAATAGTTTGAGGTCACTATCATAGTGAAACACTCAAGCAGTATCCGATACTTGTGAAGATAACGAATTGCTAAGTTAACTACAATAACATGAACTCATGAGTTGAAATGGAATCTAATTCCTTTTCTTTGTTCCTTCTTTCCTATATTTCTTATCATACAATATCTCATAATCTTACTTTAAGAATTATTTCTTTAAGTACCTTGACTCTTATACTTTGTTAGGCATAATCAAGCACCTAGTGCGCCGTAAAACAAAGTTCCATCTTTTCCATTAATTCTTACTCGAATTACTACATCAATGAGTCCTACTCAATTATGTATGATGCGAAAAGATACATTGGTTGTCAAACATTGAAAATCTTGAGTTTGCAACTCAATACCTCATGTTTTATCAAAACTACCTAGTATTTTGAATACATGATGTCCAACCGTCCTTTCGGACTTAATTATAAAAGTCATTTATGAGAATTGTATTTTAGAAATGCTTTTCCTGTCTTTGAGAACTATTCTCGAGGATTTCCTTTACCAATCATGGAAACAATATTATTTGATTTAGAATACTATAAATATAAGTGCAAAGTATAACCATTTATCAAGAACATAATAAGTTTGAAATTTAATAGCATTCATGCAAACTTCAATCTTATTAAACGTCTTATTTACGCATAAAAATTGTCCCTATTTGGCGAAAATAAGGCGATTCCAAGATCCGAAGAAACAAAGAGTGGTTAAGCATGCTTTGGCTTGTCTTAACACTCAATCTTCTAAGGTAAGCATTGCCTTGCTAATGGCTCTGAGCCACTCTTGGTTAGATAATCGTCGCATCTAATGCATCTTTGACGATGTATCTCTTTTGCCACGGTATGTGAGGACTCCTCACTCATACCGATGAGTTAAATCAAAACCAACGTGCACACCCGGTGTGCCTTATGAGCCTTGGAGAAGTGATGGCACCTCGCTTTGGCGTATCCTACCATCACCCTCGTTCGGTTGGTAAGTGTTGTTTTGGAAAGGCAAGTTTGACTCAATATTATTAGGGACCTAGGATTTCTATGTTGGTTGATTTAAGTGAACTTAATTAATCATCGCGACATAAAGAAAACCTAAACATGCATCTAACGAATAATTCACATGTATATATAAGCATAAAATATAAAGCGAAATTATAGATGCATATTGGCAACTAGCATGACCCCTTGAATTCTTCAAATCTTCAAAAGGCCAGGTCTTCATTTGCAATTCAAGGCTTTGTCTTCCAAGATACGCCGTCTTTAAGACTTAACCAAACTATGCAAATACTAGTGTCTACGACTAGGAATAATCTAAATATTAAGGTACAAAAATACTTAATGGTGCGTAGACCGTATTTAGATTTACAAAAATACATAACGGCACGTAGTTCGTATTTTCTATCCTAATCGGGTCCCACTAGTTGTCATTTCATAAAACCTGTGAGAGAGAATATATATTCCATTCATCCATTCACTATTTGTGAATGGCCCATGCAATTTACAATATCAAACAAGTAAAAACATTTAAACAACACGGGCACTAGTAACTAATCTAGGTGGTTAATCCGATTAACACGCCTAATTAAAACTAGTCAAAGTTGTTTAACCGATTATGTAATTGACGTCATTAATAATTGAAGCTCCCACTAAATTCCGCATTTCCCTTAATTAATCCAATTAATTAAGTCGATAGCACCCAAACTTGTCAAAATAAAATTTTGCCAATGCCGCTCAAAACCGAGGCCTAGCCTCCCAAAATTTTAATTAAAATAAATAAAACGGCAAAGTGAGCAAATATTAAGCCAACCGCATTTCAAGTGGCTTTCGCTTTAAGCGTTTTGCCAAAGACACTCGAATAATTGTGGCTCTTGCAAACCAAGCACACTACGGCCATTCGCCTCACCGCACCAAGCACATACACCCACAAAAGCTTCGCACACACGGCCCGCGGCAAGCAGCCTTGAGCTGCTGCCACTGCCGCACGCACGCGCACGCACAACCATGGCTGCTGCTGCGCGACTGCTATGGCCGTGTGCTGCTGCCGCGCATATGGACGCACGCAAGGCGGGGCAGCCACCTTGGCAGCCACATGCGGGCTGCTATGCAGCCACATGCGGGCTGCTATGCAGCCCGGCTAGCTAAGGGTGGTTCTTTGCCTCGTTTTGCGTGTCATGGCCTCGGGATTTGATCCCATTTCGCGAGACATAATTAATTAATTCTAAATTAATTTTAGAACTAACTCAATGAGCAAAAAAAATAAAATTTTAAACAAGTCTAACTTAATAAAATTTCAAAGTGCAAATAACCAAAATAATTCCAAGAACCATTCTTAATTAAATTGGTTTAGCTTGGTGCAATAACAAAGTTGAGGCAATTTCTCATTTTTAATTTAATCAATTTAAATTAAACTTGAGAATTTGACAAAGTAAGGGGAAGTTGGAAAAATATGAACTTTAATGTTCAAATGAAAATTCCAACATCTAAATTTTGTGAATCCTTGAAAATTATATCTTCCAACATGAAGGTAACCAAATTTCTATCACAAAAATTGAAACTTTATGTTTCCAATCAACTCTAAATGATTAAAACAACAAAGTTTAACACAAAATAACATGGAATTTAGTGGTTTTTAAAGTTTCAATTACTTATCACAAATAAAGATCTTTAACACTTAGGAAGCCTCAAAACAAAAATTTTCACACTAAAAAGCAATTAGTTTGCAATTATGTGAAAATAAATCAACCTTTAAGCATCAAATACTACCAAGTAAGTGTGCTTTAAGGGGACTTAAAAATGCTGAAAATAATGCAAATAATCAACCACATAATCAACAAGTTATGCCATTAATTTCAAGGTTAGAAAAGACTTAAAATTTTTCGTCAAAAACGAAAAATCTCTCGAAAAACGCATTTCTAGTCAGAATTTGGCTAAAATCACAGCCCCAAAATGTTAAAACCTTTCAACACCTTTTCCACCCAAAATTCACTATTTTTGGGCGAAAATTTGGGTTCTGGGCCAAATTCGACATTAAAAACGGGATTAAAATTAATAAAACCGAGCTACTAATGTAATTAGTAACTTAATCCAGAAAAATAAGCCAAAATAAAACTTCAAAAACATGATTATAAAAATAAACGAGCGGGGCTCCGATACCACTGTTGGGGTTTGGTGAGTCCGACTCACCGCGGAAACAACCCCGACCCAAGGAACCACTCGTAATTAATAAAACCATAAAGCATAAATAAATAAACACAAGAAAAGGATCGGAAGAACGAATCATACCCTTGAAGCGAGCTTTGCCCTCTCAAAACGGGCTCTTACTTGAAAGCCTTGAGCATCGCAAATGTCGTGCCTCCAACGGTATCCACCCACAATGGACGAACATGACTTTTTAGGTCTGTTACCTTGGAGTTAGCAAGGTCCGACCAAAACCCAAGTGTTAATGGAGTTTAAGAGTTTTTCCAAAATATGGAATGCTCTTTCTAACTCCCACTCAAGCACTTTACTCCAAATCCCAAGGTTGGTATTTATAGAGGAAAGTATGAGTGGGAATTTCTATCCCAACAATGTGGGATTCATGAAATTCCACAAATTAATTTAAAGCTAAATTAAATTAAATATATAAGCAAGTAATAAATCAACAAGTGTCCTAGTCATATGTAAAGAGGAGTATGGACCACTTGGATAGGAGGGGACCATACTTGCTCCCCACTCCTTCCTCTCCTTGTAACACTTGTCCACACCAAAAAGCAAGCATACTTACTAGCTTCCCCTTTCTACCTGACCTAGGCCCACGGCCCAGCTAGCCTCGCATTGTGCGGGCTGTTAGCTGCTGCTAGCTCGGCCCAACATGCCCACGCACATCAGTGCGGGCTGCTGATGCCGAGGGCGCTGCTAGCTAGCCACGCACATGTGCGGGCTGCTAGCAGCAGCGCACGCCAGCACGCCACGCACTGCTTGTGGGCTGCTAGCCGTGCTGTGCTAGCATGCCTCGCACATGGTGCGGGCTGCTAGCCACGCCTTGCTAGCATGTCTCGCACATGGTTCGGGCTGCTAGCTCGGCTAATCCCCTAGCACTCGGGATTCCGATGCTAGGGGTATTTTGGTCATTATTGATTTATTACTAATCTTTCGTCTCGTCTTTTTATTATTTTTTACTCGACTTTCGACGCTCGGTTTCGACGCTCTAAGCTCGAATTTCCGACGTCTAAATATTTAACACTCGGGCGACGAATTAATTTCTTCCGAATTAATTCGTCGAGTCAGTTCGTATATTTTGCTTGGGTGTGACGCGAAGGGTTCAGTCAAGATTAAGCTGTAATATTAATTATATTAATATTACTGATCGAAAGCGGCCTCCACCCAG